CTTCTAAACGCCTTGAAATTGGCCTCTGTCTCTTTAAGAACCACCTTCTGCTTCTGTCCCGTCCCGTTCAGTGCGCCGGGGGGGGGGGGCTATAATGCAGTTTACTTGGCATCTGAAAATACATTTCCTCAAAGATATTTTGAATCTGTAAAGAGCTTCACTGAGTGAGAAATAGTGTTGAGAGCAGCAGATAGTTTCAGTTTCACTTTCACTTTGCTCTGTTACTGCTGAGAGCCCGCAGGAGTCATGGGCGGGGTGAGTGGGGTGGGGAGGTGTGCTCCGTGATGAGGAAGTTCGGCTTAAAGACACGTCCCAGGGGCGTTTCTGGTCCCTAAAGGCGTTTCTGGTCCCCACCTGTCGTTTTGCTCCTCAGCATGTTTGCCTAAAAACGCTGCAGGATTTCTCAAACATGCATGAATGAGTCAAAGTAAGGCTTTGGGCATGTTTTTTATGAGAGTATAACATTATAACATGACATATAAAACTCAAAAAACGTTGATTTTACATGAAATAGCCCCTTTAAAAGTTTAAGTCACACATACCAATACCAGAAAAAATGTCTGCTTTTTCTACTCTACGTTCTTTGTCAGAGATTTTAGACATTTCAGATGAGCAGTAAGTAAACTCGCCGTCATGTGGTAAAATGCTGTTAACTTGACTCCATTTGTCACAATTTGGTGTAATAGAAATGACGAACTAAGGCTAGTAGATCCTCCTGAATAGCAGCATTAGATGGAGAAGGACTCCCTGCTGCTAATGCACATTGCACAGCTGTGGGCTTCTTTATGTGCTGTCTTCATGATCCGATGTTTGTGAATTTCAAACTGCTGCTTTTAATTACCCTCTGCAGCTGCTAATGAGAGAAGCCTTTTTTTTCTAAAATGAGATTTATCCTTTTCCCAACAGAGGCCCAATCCAGTGCCATGATGTTYGACTGCCTCTACATGGAGCTCTCAGCCTCTTTGGACCACGGCACCAACGAGCTGCTGGAGGCGGCCGTGCGGACTGCGAGGGGGGACTGCGTGGGCCCCGGGTGGACSGACGGCGACCCGGGGGCCGGGCGCAGGGAGAGCCTGACGAGCCGCGCCAAGCGCTTCCTGGCCGGGCTGGTACCGCGCTCGTACGGCCGCGACCGGGACCGAGGACGCTACCGGGAAATGAGCCGCCACCGGGGGAGCAAAATCTTCCGTCAGAAATCCCGCTCCTGCCACGACCTCAGCGCACTGTGACACACGCAGACACACACCAAATGCGTACACGCACCACATGAACACAAACACACACCGAACTGATTGACACAGGAGGAGGAGGTGTAAAAAAAACAACAAAAAAAACGGGTGAAGAAAAAGGAATTAAGACTGAAGTGAATCAATAGAAGATGATGGACAAGATACACATTATTAGTGTGTGGAAAGTTGGCTTTGGCAGCCAACAACTGATGAAAGGGGGGAGAAAGATGAGCAAATGGATCAGACAGCCTGGATCACTCTGAAACCTATCATCGAAACCAATTTTGAGACACAGACGGAGAAACAGAAATGGRGGTGGAGCTGATTTTACAGCTCCGGCTTTGGTGAATCACAGAGTACTCATTACCTGAGGTGGTCAGCAGAAAGAGGAGCCGCTGYCGAAGCACCGCGCTGATTTCCTGCTTAACGAGAGGGAGGATGGTGTCACGAGTAAAACACACACCCGTGTAGCAGGCACTGATAACATAAAGACTGATAGCAAGTTAATGTAAACCTGTTATAGACCCTGTTTTATAGCATGCAGGTAGAATACCTTAGACATGACCCTGTAGGCTTTACAGTCCTTTAAATAAAAGTACCTCAGTGGCCAATAGCATCTGCACAATCTCAGTAGAGTTTTTAAGCAATGCCATCCCAAAGGCAAGGACTATTTATTTACTAAAGAAAAAGAATCCACTCTTCATCCACCATTTATGTCGATTTTAAGGACTGTTTGATACAAAAAAAAAAACTCCAGCGGCATTCAATAGTTCCTCTGTGACTTTTCTACAAAGGTAAAACTTCAGCACTAAAGCCATATTTTTGCTGAATGCGCCACGAGCAGTCAGCACGTTGAACCCTTTACTGCAGGATGTGAAGCAYAGGAGACAAAAAAAGGACAATAAAAACAACAGAAGAGAAGGCAGGACTGAACTCCTCTTCAAACGAAGCTGAGTCACAGACCGCAGGGAGGCTCCTAAAGTGACAAACGGGAACAAAACAAATCTACCTGTGGCTGTTTGATGTTCTCTATTTTTATTTTTTCCGTGTTACCCACCGGAATTATTTTAAGTTCTGACAGACTTCTGTGGAGGGTTAACCGCACAGGTGATCCAAAACGGAACGTTCTGGAAACGTCGAAGGAGTATCTCATCAAGCAAGCTGGCGTCACTGACACGTCTTTCTCTTGTTTGTCATTGTCCACTGAGCACTCTCATCTTTACCGCTGAGAATAAATGCAGCTTGGTTTGACATCTTCATATGAGTTTTACTTTTGTCATCGTTTTGAAGACAACATTATGAAATTGTTAGTCAGCCGTTAACCAGGTCGAGAGATGGCGTGGCAGTCCATCAGATGAGTCACTGAGCCTCTCAGGACTCTTCTTCCATTTAGGACCGAGCTGCAGTGTCAATACTTTTCTGGCTGTAACTAAATCTTGGTTTAAAAATAGGCTGTTTCATAAGGACATACATTTGTTATGTTGATGAGCATCGCGTGGATGATGTAATAAATGACATATCTACCAGTAAAAGTTTTAAACATGGATGTTCTCAGCTTTTTAATTTGCCACCCCCCACCTCCAAAAAAAATTATTTTTCACTTTTTCTGTTTACAGTATATTTCAGGTATTCTGTTGTCTAAAAAATATCGCTTTAAAGCTCCCCCCTACTTTTCAACTTTTGTAAAATGCTTATAACAGG